TGTTGCGGAAGCATTAAGCGTTATGATCAGTCGCGAAGAAAGTAAGGGCTTCCTATCAGGTCTCGCAGTGTGTAGGGGTTCGCCGAAGGTCTCACACCTTCTTTTTGCTGACGATACTATGATATTTTGTAAGGCCAATGAGCGTTCAGCAATTAGTATTAAAAGTATCTTGCAAAACTACGAAGAGGCATCGGGTGAACAAGTGAATTTTGAGAAATCGTGTATCGTTTTTAACAAGAATACAAGTGAACCAGTGAAGGAGAGGATTCGTTTAGTTCTTCCAATGGAAGTGGTGGACAAACACAGGAAATATCTTGGGCTTCCTTCAGGCAAATCCAAACGCCAAATTTTCGCCAACATCCTGGATAAAGTGTGCTCACGTCTTCATGGATGGAAAGAAAAATGGCTATCAAGAGGTGGTAAAGAAATCTTAATTAAAGCGGTAATTCAAGCAATCCCATCGTATGCAATGAGTTGTTTTAGATTGCCGGATTTTTTTATCAAAGATCTCGAAAACAAAATAGCAAAATTTTGGTGGAAAGACGCGAATGGTAAAGGTATTCACTGGACAAAATGGAAAAAGCTTTGCATGAGTAAACATTTTGGTGGGCTTGGTTTTAGGGATTTGGAAGCGTTTAACACGGCATTACTAGCAAAACAGCTATGGCGTCTATTGGAAAATTCCGAGAGTCTTTTGGGCAAAATTTTCAAAGCAAGATATTTTCCAAATTCGAATGTTCTTGGAGCAGCCTTGGGACCGAACCCATCATATACATGGAGAAGTATTTGGGGCGCGAAAAATATTTTGGCGGTTGGGCTGCTGTGGCGAATTGGAGATGGTCGTTCTATTAAAATTTGGGATTTCAAATGACTGCCTAGAGAAAGTACCTTTCAAATTTTTACTCCGAGAGGTGATTGGCCGTCCACGACGACGGTGAGTGAACTAATTGACGGGGTTAGTGGCCAATGGAAGTTTAATTTAATTAAAGACAATTTCTACGAAGAAGATTGATACGATCCACACAAGCTCAAAGATGAAGAATTGGAAGAAGAGAAAGCAAGTGAGATTAATGGAGCCGTTCGTGTTGGGATTGAATAATAAAGGCTTGAATCAAACCATTGAAGAGTTGATGGTTTGGAATTGGAAGAAAAGAAAGAGAAGAATTTGTTGGACAAGTCGAATTCCATGCATCCGAGATTCTCGCCTATTCTGGCAGAGTTAACCATTCGGGTTATAACTCTCTCATCTGAAGTCCATTTACGCTCATTCAAAATGATTCGGAAAGATAACTGAAAGATCTACAACTTTCATGTTTAGAGCGAAGAGATATTCGAAGTGGAACATTGTCGAAATTGAGCTTTAATTGCGTGCACGTGCACATCCCAATGTCGCGAGTTAAGAAGGGTGATCGAGAAGTCGACTTGAAGATCAAGTTATCTAGTTTATTTATGCACGTTTATAATTTAGGATTTATTATGTTTTTATTATTTTAGAGTCTTTTATGGTTAGGATTTGCTTATTTACAAGTTTCCTTATTATAGTTTAGGTAGGAGTCATTTTCCTTGTGAAAAAGGAGTCTTTTTAGCACTTATAAATAGGTTGCCAATTTGGCTTATTTTAGAGGACGAATTTTGATGATTTAATTGAGAATATTCTCTTTGGTTCTTTAAGAACTCTTCGAACATATCGGTGGATTCCGTTTGTTCACCCCGACTTATCAATCGATCTTTCACAATCGATTGTGGCGTCTTCACATACCAAGGTTCTTGCCTCTTTATAGGTAACGGGTCGCGGTTCCACCCTTTGAATCTTTGTTTTTGGATGTCTTTCGATCTTGCTTCCGCGTAAGGTATTAGGGTCTCGTAACAAGTTCTACGGGGTTCGTATCAGTTGGTATCAGAGCCAACATCCAAAACAGGTTTCACCTATCTTTATTTTTGTTGTGTCTTCTAGTATATCTCATCTTTTCTTGACTTGTGTTATTTAGAGTCTTCGTAGGAAAAAAAAAATCGAATTTTATTTTTTGTTTAGATTTCTTTACAGCCCAAGTTAGGGTTTACTAGTGTCAAAAAAAAAGGAAAAAAAAAAGAAAAAAAAAAAAAGTCGAATTTTGTTCTTGTTTAGAGTTCTTTACAGCCCAAGTTAGTGTTTATTAGTGTCAAAAAAAAAAAAAATTGTTTTGATCATGTACGTGAAGGCCGGTTATAAAGAAGAAAGAATTGAGCAGCGTAGGATGTCGTTAATGGCAAAACGATTCCAGGAACTCCAAGATCGGATGGAAGGAATTGTTACCCAACTAAAGGAACTAAACAAAGATCAACATGTTCGAGGGCCATACCTACGACGTGATGTTCACCAACCGGTTCTACCTCATCGTGATAAGGAGGTTTATGGTGATGTAAGATATGGTGTGACTGCAGCAACACCAAGAGATGTTTATTTGCGGCGAGGGGATCAGTTCGATCGACCAAGACGAGGTTATTCCGATTATTACGAGCGAGAGTTAGATGATTATCCTAGATCAAGTAAGTACTCAGTTCATTCATCCTATGCTACTGATTTAAAAGAAAGGAGATCGTCGAGTCGAAAATCACGGTGGAACTCTTCATCAAACCGAGATAGGGAATCAATACCGAGAGAGGCCACGTTCGATCCTCCATATGAGACTAAAGAAAGAGGTTATTATTTTTCTCAATCTCATTCAATTCATGATACTAAATGTTTTTGGTGTTTGGGTTTTGGTCATGTCGCTTCAGATTGTTTAGATAAGCCATTCATGAATTTGCGATCGGACTACGAGGAATTGAAGAGAAAGGGTGATTCTTTATCGTCACTTGGAAAGGAAGATACTCGTCAAGCTTTTGAGAATCAGAACATTGTAGCCGATTTCGCAAGTGATAAACCGCTGATTGAGGAAAAGTTAAGTGAGAATGTTGAGGTCGAGTCCAAGGGAGAAGAAAATTGCAAACCCGCGCCACCGCTTAAAGAAGAAATTGAAGGTTCGGATTCGAGGACGAATCCTTTTGAAGAGGTGGAGAATGATATGATCCAGCCATGCATCGAAGTTAATGCCGAGCTAAGCAAAGTTCAAACTCTCAGTGTGAATGTTGATGAGATGGCGGTGCCTAGAGAGATGCTTCAGTCATTCTCTATACCGAGGTTGAACGCATTGGAACTTCAAGCTACAAAATACTCGCGTTCATATCCACTTCAATGGATGCTAGATAGTGTGTTTGGCGATGTGGTACAGAGATGTGTAAGTTCGGTACCAAACAGAGAGATCGATCTTATTTATACTCCTTGTGATATTTGTCCGGATTCGAGGACGAATCCTTTTAAAGAGGGGGAGTATGATACGATCCACACAAGCTCAAAGATGAAGAATTGGAAGAAGAGAAAGCAAGTGAGATTAATGGAGCCGTTCGTGTTGGGATTGAATAATAAAGGCTTGAATCAGACCTTT